CTATATTTGGAGCGATAGATAGTGTAGAATGTTTTAGTGAAGTCAATTCTACCCCGATTCGATTGACTTATAGCCGCTCTCTTTTTCTCACTCTCTCTCGTTCTCATTTCTCGTTCTCGTTCTCGCTATTTACATAGATATCTACATATCAGTCCTTTCATCGCGGTTTCTCACATTCGTACTTAATTCTACTTGCTGCGCGTGTCTGATTTGCCGTTAGACACTTTTTAAACGTCTACGCCGCCCTAATTGTCACTGCAGTGACTCTATATAGAATGTACTATATAGAATCGCCCTTTGAACGCTATGCTTTTTTAGGCCCTGTATACAGCGTTACTTAAGTTAAACCGTTGCTTTTTCAATGAGATGAAATATTCTTCGCGTTACCTTGGGATTGTCGGATTCATATTTGCGCATTTGCACGAACAAACAGTGCTGATTGTTTAAATTCACTGGTCAAAATGTAAGTCAATTTTCTTCATCCTATGGCACATTTGCAAATAGTTCATACCACGAATAAAAAAAGTCTCTGGAAATGCCTTGACCTGATAAATGGAAAATTTTTCGTCTAACATCAATTAACGGTTTCTTTATATTTTCCTTTTGAGATCGCTGTTTGCTATTGTTTAACAAAATTTAAGTTTTGCTATTTATGTTCCAATTTGATAACTTTTTTTCATAATTAGTTGACGCGTTTTTGTATCGGGATGCAAAAATCGGCTTTTAAGTACATTTTGTCTTTTTTTGTCGTTTTTTTCTGTACATTACGACCAGTCAAAACTTACTTGAACGGAAGCCCGATAAAATGTATTAAAACTTCTGCTTTAATGATAACAATTAATTACGACATGTACATAGAAAAATAATGTGTGCGTCGATGTATTGAGAAAAGAACACGTTAGTTAAATGTTAGAAAAATTAAAACCCGCCACACCTGCCTTGCGTTGAATGTGCGTTGTTGGATGCACATTGTGGTTTGCATTTTGCAAGTCGAGAAAATTAGTATCACAATTAGGAACACCAATTACAAGTGTATAAATTAAAAATATATTCTTATTAACTTACTAAAACTGAAATTTGCCTCCAATCGTTAATAATAGTATTATAACGTATTAATTAATTAAAGCAACAAATTAACATTATCTTTATATTTAATTAATAAAATGTATACGCAAAAAATGAATTGTTGATCTCCTGTTAAAAACAATTTTTCATTTTTCAAATTTTCAATTTGCTCTTTTCTTCTTTCTTTTATCTTTCTTTTGCGATTCTGAATTAGGTTTTCAAGATTACGTACATGGTTTCATATTCACAGAGCAGAAATGCCATTGTATGACTAAATCAATTAAAAATCGTTCCATATATCCGACGATTCGGAATAAAAGTGTGTTCACGGCAATATTATTGACGTCTCTAATTGCCTCTCTCTGCAACATGATCCTTTTTTTGGGACAGCTCCACAATGACGACGCGCGCAGTTTAGTCCAATATCCGTATATTCAGCCATATCTAGGGATAATAGCAACCGTATTATTACCACAACTGTCTGTAACGAATAGGATTAATCAGCAATTTGAGCTAAATCGAGATGCTATTCGACGATGTTTCGCCAAATCGGCCGAAACAAGATTAGTTTCCACAGAAATATGCGGAAAATATGCGTTCCAGTATTTCAATAAATTTTTTCAAAACCTTTAAAACAGTAAAAACTAATACAAAAAATCAAGTTGCAAAAAATATGTTACAAAAATTCATCTTTTAAAGTTCTATTCTTTCTCGTAAAATTATTGAGATTTTCTTAACATGAAAATATATCATTTAAAATGAAGAAGAAGATGATCTGTCTTTTCCAGTAAATCCAGTTCTGTTTCAAAGAACTGCAAAAAGATATTTCTAACAAAGAGCAACGTAAAATCATCTTTTTCATCTATCTCATAATTCGTTCGCGTATTCTCTCACGTACAAATCCGAGCGATTATTTTAATCATTTCTACATTTTCAGACTTTTCTATCTTAAGAATTTTGTAATAGTCTTTCACTTATCGTTCACTATTTTTCTCCGATGATTGCTGAGGTTCTGAACAATCGTCGAACTTTTCTACAAACTCGACGAACGTGTTTATGAGCGAGGAGGCATTCGATGGTGAATTTAACGAGTCTGCGTTAAAATTATTGTAGAGCAATTTTATTTTCGTGTATGGCGAGTTTCATTTAGAGAACATAAAAAAAAATGATTTGTCAGAAGTACGGCACGGAAAAATCGTGCCTACCGGAGAATTACACTAATTAGTATCTTTATTCGGACGGTCCGCATAACTGCGCGCGTTAGCGTAATCTCCCTTTCTCTCTGTCTTTCTTTCTCTCATTCTCATTTATTCTCTCATTCATTTATTCTCTCTCTTTTTCTCTCTGGAATAATAATAATCCTCCAGAAGCAAGTAAAGACGATCGATTAACTAGACCAATGCAATACATGATGCAGAAAAGGTATTCCGTACTGCGTTAATACTGCGACATTCGTCGATGTCGATGTTTTATTGGAAATAATATCGCGACAGCGTCAATCTATAATAAAATAAAACAAAAAATAATAAAATTGAAATATATCGAACTAAAGAAGAACCTGAAAAGATCATGAAAATAACAACTTCAGTCAAATGATATTTCAAGTATAGGTGAAAACGCTTTTGTTCTTTATTTTTTTGTTGCTTAGTCCGCTAACTGAAATTGTTATTTCCAATATAATTGACCCCTTTATTATTCATTATACTTTGATTCTATAAACGTCGAGCTTTTTTCCTTTATTTTCATTATTTTATTTCGCGTTCTCTCTATTTTTATCATAGAAGAACCATAGTGTGTTGTAAGATACTACAGCTTTCAATTATTGGAAGTATACAGAGTTACATCAATATTTGTTGCTGTAATTATTGTGAGCAATATGTTTCAGTGATTTTCCACTGACAAACAGAGTACGCTAACAAAATACGGAATACCTCTACAGGAATATACTAGGATGACATAAGTAACCTTTCTTTCACTTAAATATATACCTTAAATATATACCTTTATTTCTCTAAAGAATAAACACGTGCGGATAGAATGAAATATCGTGCAAAAGTTGCAATAAAATTGCAACAAAATTTACAGCGTCCCTTTCTTCTCGCTCAAACGAGAATTCTATCGTCTTATTATTCGAAGAAATAAAAATATATATTTACACGAACGAATTGACCGTTTAATTATGTCACCCTACGGTATTTATCCTTCAGTTCAAATATTTCTATTTTGTACACGCAAGCGACAACACGTAAAACACACAAAACTCGACGCCGATACATTTTATATTTATTATACTTACAAAAACAACGAGCCGCTCATGCTTTCGTTATTATATATTTACAGTCCGCCCCCGCCTAGTTATTGCTATATGGTACATTTATACAGGCAAAATGGCGCACGCGATGAACGTCTCCCTATCCTGCGTGCCGATCCATCGCGGCGTTATTGTTTCGTGATTACGATAATGTTACATACGACCTGGCCACGTTAATAAGTGTCTCGTGTTGTATATATCATACAGCGTTGCATGTGCCGGCGCGCTAATAATTACATCTAATTAGCGCTAGCCGGCCGTATCTCGACGTATGTACAGATTAACAAACTTCTCTTTCATCCTCTCTTTCGTGCCTTGCACACATATATTCGCATTCCGTGTAACTTTCGGCGTCGCTCTCTTTGCGCGAGTTGTTGACGGTTAGCAACTTTTGCAAATAACCCGCTTTCATTTATTAATTAATTATTTTTATCTCCGATGAAGAAAATTACCATGTGTATTCTGGAAACTGCCGTGCAAACGATCTTTTGCTTTTACTCTTTTGCAAGCGTTTCGTAAAACTTGTAACTTGCCGCTGTAAATTTTTCTAAGAATTTTTTGCCTGTAATTACAACCTGTTGATTATACTCGTGGTGGATTTCTTCTGTTCTTTCGTCGACGCCGAAAGTAGATTCCAGATTTCAGCCTCGCAATCGTCACGCAAATCGAAAAGCATATCGATGATAATCGGTCGGTAATAGCGTCGATTATATTCGCTAATAACCGGCTTTTAATGGCTCCGGCTCTTGGAGAGCATTAATTTCGATCTCGATCTCTTTCGAAAGCGTTTGTCGCGCGCCTCCCGAGGCGACATGATAGCGTGGATTACATATTACCGGATGTATTTCGGAATGCGATTATGTGGAAGGCAATTACGCGCCGTCGCCGATCGTCGCTCTATCGAACGATGACTGTGATGATATTTGATAGGAACTTATTGTTTAAAGACGCTTATTCGCGATTAATCCCCTTAAATTTATATGAATTTTTGCTTTATCTTAATATTGGCAACTTTTCAAATAACATACTTATATAATCAATATTTTTTTTAATAAATCGAGAACGTAAAAGTCTCACTATGAAAAAGTTAAAAAAAGTCTTAAAATTTTTGCACAAATAAAAAAAAAAACAATAGTTAGATATGCCTTATGTTGCAAAATCCTAATTTTATACTTTTATACATATTTCATTTCTTGTTTAAAATAAACTTATTTACAATTAACAATATGTGTATATAGCACATTTTATTATAACAGAAATTATTGTACATCATGATTGGATAAAAAAAAGTGCGGAGCAGGCTACACATTGCTTAATACTAACAATCAATATCGCATGTGCTTCGCACTGAATTGCGACGAACGAAAGAGCTGATGACATACGAAACAATACGTCGAATAAAGGTTAATTGCGAATAGCGTCGATTGGCATCCGAAAGTCGCTGAATTAAAGCGGTTGGATTTCATTTTGGCTGGAAATTCGATGAGAAAAAAGGGGAACTCGCCTTTCGGAGGCGGATTTTTCGGAGTTATTCTTCGTCTCGCACACTAGACAAATTGCGAGGGTGCCTTCCAACAGCCGGCGCAGCAGGGCAAGGCGCTCTTCAGCGTGTCTTTGAAGGCATCGCGGAAGTCACGATTGAAGTACGCGTAGATGAGCGGATTCAGGGCGCTGTTGAAGTAACCTATCCAGAAGAGCACCGATACCACCGTGTCCGGACAATAGCAGGCCTCGCCACACAGCGACGTTATCAGGTACCTGGAAAATGATAAATAAAAACAAAAAAAAAACCACTTTTTTATATCTAAAGGAATTGCCTAACTAACAGAATTTCCGATTTGTCGATCTTCATTTGTAAAAGTTAAATTTAAAATGTTGTATGTTTGTATGTTAAAGAACTGGAACATAACGCCAAATTATTAATTAAAAAGATACGGATGGAAATTTTTCTTGTAAATATATAAAATATAGAAGATATATATCTGATATATATATATATATCTATATCATTGATCCGTTATGTCAGATTCGTGTTCTTATCTAGAGACACGCAATAAATAACACAATAACGTAAATCGTTAAAGACAATCTTCTCACGAAAGGGAAAGCGTTTTGGGAAATGGTAACATTAATAATCGAGATCGAGATTCAAACGGTAAGAGAAGTTGTAAATCTGTAGAGAAAAGGTCAAAAGCATAGATTGGTCAAATACTAAGCGCCATAATTTCCGATAAGGGTATCTCAGTGTGGCGTCAGCCACGTATCCTAAAAGTGTGAATACGGATAAGAGCGTCCAGAAATTTATGGGATTTGTTTTACGCCAAAATTACATTGGAGAAAATGAATTTTCTTTGCGTGCGCTTTCTTGCATTTTCTTGTAAGCATCTGCGCCGCGTATTTTGCATATAGATGCATCTGCTGCATTATGCGCAGATTTTAAATCGATATTTCGATATTGCTTTTCATATGTGAGCAAAAATCGTGAGCGAAAATAAAACTCCTATCTTGAATTCAGCACGCGCAACGCCCATAATTTCACAACGAAATTTGGACGTTCGTATGAATTAGAAACATATTACTTTTGTAAAAGTATAGCATAAATTCTGAGAATTTTGTTTAACGAAGTAAATGTACTAAATGTACTAAATTTATTAAAATGAAACTATTGTAATTGTTTTATTTTCTGAACAATTCTCAGAGTTATCACGTCAGTCACTGATTCAAACTAAAAAAATTGTGCTTTTATTTCGATATTATTATTTCCGATTTATTCAAAAATCGAATTAATAAATTATAGAACTATTAAATTACTTTGAATTTATATATTTTATTGCGAATATTTTTTACGCGAAAGAGAGAGAAGGGGGGGAGAAGAGAGATTTTCCCTAAGGAAAAATTTATTATATATTCATTGGGAAATTCACATGCCTAAAAGATTGCCTGATTAGTTTGGCATAATGTATTGTGTATAAATCGAAATAACGGTAAAAAACATAATGCGACCGTATTTTCAACCACATGATCATTATTAATGTACGAAGCATCGATCGTGATACCGATATAGCGCGATATTACGCGAAACGGAGATCGACGTAGATTTGTGGTCACAGCTATTTCCGTTTGACGAAAATTATAAAGCCACCGATATCAATCAAACAAATTGGACTTTGAAAACGCAGTTGAGCTCTTCTTCGTGTACAACTACATATATCAGCTCTTATGGATTTGCTCCTGCCATATTGTTTTCCAGTACATCTCTATTGTTATTTTTCCGTCGTGAAACGTATTTTTGCCTCGTGAAACATACGTCGCGCGAAGAAAGAGAAATATCGAATTCTCGATGAAATAGAGATAAAAAAATATTCACGGGTTAACGAGATGCTACACGTAGAAATTTAAATAATCATAAATATTAAAAGAGGAATTAAAGAGACTTGTCGATGTATTCGAACATTTTTTTCAGAAAAGAAATAAAATTATTCACGTGTTAAGAGAGAGCCGATCGCCCAAAAGTCGATAACGTGATTCGGAAAATGGCCGAACTACGAAACTAACGCGAGCTTTTAGGTCAGCAGAGTGATGCGCTTTGTGCATTTACATGAATAAAAACCGAGTTGCAAAATCGAGGTGTTCCATTGCGCGTTCATATATCTGCATTGCTTCGCTCTATTTCCATAGAGAGCTCATTTTCCGGCGGAACTTCACTCATGCGTACTTATCCATCGTCATCGTTCGCTATTTAACGAAATTTTCATGAATTCTATCGCCAGACCATAATATTACGCATTCAACGAGAATCAATTTACTACATTAAGACAATAAAATAAAATGGTATTACGTGAGCTTCATATACAATTGTATAAGAGGAGAGAAAAGAGAGAATATAGAGTTAATTCTAATTTTCCAGTACCTTAAAATATAATTTTAGGATTATCTGATTATCTACAAAGTAATTTCTAAATTTTCTCAATCTTATGAAAAGTTTTAATAGTAATTCTCAAAAGCTAGTTTATGAACCATAAATTTTCCATAAATATTTAAAATATCCTTGCTTTTCTATTTAAAACCAATATAATCTTTATTATTTTTATTTATATTCTGAAACATCGTTTTATTGCGAAACCTTCTCCTTTGGAGATAAACTCATTTAAGTGGTAAGTGACCACGTCATGCATAATCACAACATGATTAAAGAGATTGCATCCCAAGATAAACAAATTTCCGACACACCTATCGATCTCCTCGCACATCGTTCGTTACATTTTGCGCCTGTATTTTACACTCTTCGTTTTAAATTTTGAATTAAAAACATTCCGAAATATGATTCTTTTTGTCTTTCGAGTACTCTTTAAGAGAGGTCTTCGTATTCCGCTATGGTCGCGGCGTTTAGTCAAGCAAATAGTCAAACTGCGAGCATGCTTGAGGGGAGAGTAGGGTAAGCCCTCAGCAAACTCCATAGAGATGCACTTTCCGAGCTTGCATTAATAAAACATGGAACGGACGAGACTGTCTCTTCCTCTGCTAACTTTAGACATTCGGCATCAGCAAAGTTCTCCCTTTTTCCCTCTTTCTCTCCTTCTTTCTTGACGACGCAATTCGATATATAAATTCCAAGATTTCTACAAAACAAAATCACTAAGTGAATTTTCATTAAAATTATTTTGCCCTTGCGCTCACCTTATTTTGTTTCTTTTAAAAAAGTTTGTGAATCTATAAAAATAGTAAATCTTTCTTATTTCACACTATTAGAGCTCCATTTATTTAGTATATATGCGATTGAAAAGTTGTAATATGTTAATGAAACTAAATAAATTTTCGATTTAAATTTATTATTTATTTTGCACTGACGAAAACTAGCGTAGATGTTTAGATTTACTACTAATTTCATATTAGAAAACTAAAAAGCAAATATTTTTAATTTAGCATTTTTAATTTAGAAACATTTACATTTAATTAGTTTCAATTTGTTTTTTAGATTAAAGATCTAAATTAGCGATTTACATCTCTCTGTCTCTCTTTCTCACGTTTGATATTGATTTTTAGTTTTCGTTTATTTTTCGTCGAAAAACTTTTTAATTGCACTCACTAAAACTTTAAAATCACTCGAAAATATCTTGAACAATTATTTCTCGATGAATTTATTAAAGAATCCTCTCTGTAAAGAAATCCATTGAATTTTTTCACAATTGATGCTTACCAGAGAAAGAATGGTAACCAACAGAGAAGGAACGCCCCCATAATTATACCAAGTGTTCTCGCAGCTTTGTGCTCGGCCCGCCAACTTTTCGTTTGCTGTCGTATCGAAGTGCCTGAAACACAAAAGTAATCAAATTATGTCGTAATGATTTGTAGATTTTAAATATTCTAATTTTAATCAAATACAGCTCTCAATAAATCTCAATTAGTCTGATATAAAATAAAACTTTTAACGAAATATCGTAGCCTCTTATATAATAATTATTTGTAATTATATATTAAATATTCCTGTCGTATAACGCAGATTTATCGGCGGAGTGTGAAGCATGAGTATTAACGTATTACGTTTCCATTGCACGCGTTGAATTGGTAAATTTTAATTCAAATCCGACGAGAGTAACGCTGTTTATATAATTACCTCTACAAAATGTAAGCTAAATCCACCGATATGCCATTCCAATAATAATAATAATATAATAATGATGATTCTTCTGGTAGATATTCAATTTTATATTTTTCTATAGAAGTCTATATATATTATCGCGTTAATGAGATTCTCTCTCTCTCTCTCTCTCTCTTTCTCTGTCCTCTGTTACATACATAACTCTCAACCTTTAATTAGACGCGTATGAGTTTGTACAATCTCATACATTCTGCAATTTAGCGAAGTTAAATTAATTGTTGATTACTCGAAATTATACGGAAGTTTATATTAAATTATTAATTTCTATAATTAATTCCTCTTTATTTACAATTAGTTTCTTTTCCATTTTTTTCTCCCCTTACTTAATTTTTAATTTAATGATTATAATCTCGTGAATTTAAATTTATATATCATAAATTTATAAATCAAAAAGAAAAAAAGAATAATTTTAATCATTGTATTTCATGGCTTAAATCGTTATATTTTATAGGATTATTTAATTTTCGAAACATATACTTTAATGTACATTTTTGTGATTTTTGTAACGACTGAATTTTTAAATCGTATAAATTTAAAATATTAATTATCAAATATTAACGTAATAATAATATAAATATAAATAAATTATTATAAGTATTAATAATATAAACAATTGTAATTGTTTATCACATTATATATGATATTAATAACATACGCACAATTTATTAAATATAATGTTAGAAATACTGCGGGGGAGAAGAAACAATCATCTCTTAATTCTTTTGAAATAAATTCTGTGTATGAAATCATAAAATAATTTTATTTAATTATGTTAGATAGTTAAGAAGTTTTTTGGAGAATAAAATTCTTTTTTTTTTTAGAATCTGATAGAGTAAGTCCGATTTAGTGCATGGATGAAAGAGTAAAATGATTTTAAAATTATCAAATAATTTGCTTTGCATTATTTTAATCGTTTCACATCGTTTATTCCGCATTTACAAAGTCATTATAATAAATTTAAACATGTAATACGAGTAAATACAAGTATTGAGATTCGCGATAAAAATTTAGGTCGTAAAGTGTTAATCATCAAGTTCAACGATGAGATTTAATAAAAAGTGTCTCTCCCTCCCTCGTTCTCTCTCGCACTCTCTTTATCTATCTCTCATATTATCGCATTTTTTTTTGTCGAGTTTCTCCCGAGAGTTTTCCTACAAAAGCCATTAAAAGCTGGCCTACCCAATTCTGATATAATTACCTTGCACAACGTGCCATCGAGCGTTGTTATCGTAGCGCGCAACTACGATAATCGCACTACGAGCGAATATCATCATACACGGAAATTTTTCCACAAGCTATTAACACGCACTCGCCATTTAATCTCGTCAGTCAGTATTCCGTGAGAAAGTTCCTTTCGACGTGAAAAAGTTTTCCAAGAGAAGATAATAATTTTTAAACACGGAAAATGATAGTTGTAAAACGCACATGCATTTATTATTTAAATTAATCTTTAGTATGTTCTATATATATATATATATATATTTATTATAATTTGACATAAGCCCTTTTTGCAAAATAATAATTATAAATGCATAAAATTTAAGTATTGTGTACATTTATATATTTCTTAACACTCTTTGCTTTTATTTATATGTAGTTTCATTTTTGCTAGATGTAATTGGAACATAATTACGTCAAAAGAATTCTTTTTTTAAATCGAGCTTTCGATTATTCAATGATGAAGGCGCACAAAAGCGTTTTGTCAGTTTGCAGTTAGAAATCCTAAACTCTAAGTACTTTTCCGAATGTGCAACGAGACTTCGGAAACCGCAGACTTAGCGAATTTACTCGGGCGGGATTATGTCAAGGGGAAAGGGGTAGTTGTTGTTTAGATAATACGAGAATGGAAGGAAGGGTGTCCGTCCGGACAGAAGGGTTGAAGGGTTCGCGTGCTCGAGCGTACTAAGGCAGATTTAGGTTGGTTGGTCGATGCTCAGCGCTTTCGTGCAATCAATGCGTTCGTCTATCAAGATATAAGAAGCGTCTGTACATACAGGGTGGTTTTGGTGAGAAAGTGCTTTGCCTGGATTTTGGAGACAATTCTCAATAACAAGTGTTACGATCAATTTGATAGGGTTTGAATATGAAATTATATTAGCAAAAAGAAAATCGAATTCTATCGGATGTTTTTAGATCATGAATTTTTTTTATACATAAAATATTGATATGTTTTATAAATTAATATATGTTGAAAAATTAAAATTATTTTAAGATTTTGTATAACATGTCTTTTTAATAATATGTATATAGATCCAAATTTTCTATTAAAAGAACGTATTCCATGCAATCCATGCAGCGTATATCCATATAGCAATTTTTATACGTACATACGCTATGTGAATTAATATCTGCCAGAATTAATATGTTCCTTTACTAGAAAATTTAGATTTATATAACATGTGTTTAAACGTAAATTTATTTAAGCTCCATAATTTTATAAAATTACTTATCTCGTCTTATATTTTGTATTTTATTATTTACTCTACGTAATTACTCGACGTAAAAATTTGTAAAAGTATATAAGTATCTTTTCCTAATTATTGAATATTGAAACAAATTTTAAGTAAAAAAATATGAAAATTTCATTTTAAAAACCATGAAATGTAATTTTTTTTTGAAATTATTAATTTATGCAACGTGTTTTATAAGTAATTGTAGTGCATTTGTAGTAGGTAGATTTAATTAAACTGCGCTGAAAAATTCTCTACCATTGCCGTTTTGCGATTTTCGCAATAATTAACGAGAATTAATGACTAAGATCACCGAATCCGTCTAGCCCACTAGCGCGAATGCAAGCGCGCGGCGAAATACATCCCTCCAACGTTATGCGCACTTGAGATTGTTAGGAGCGTGGCGAGATATTTGGAGGTGTGCACTATGAGTTCCATCATTTGTATAGATCATATCTCCAAACATCTCTCTGCGCTCCTGACGTAACCGCGAATGCTTGTAATGTTGGATGATCATATTTCGCGCCGCGCTTGCATTTGGGCCGCATTCATTCAGCAATTTTTATTAATAACTCATTACTATCGATTAATAACTCATTACTAGATGCGAAAATCGCAAAATGGTAGAGAACATTTCTGCTCAGTTTAACACACTCTATTAATACAAATAACGTACCATTAATTATGAGATATGCATTAATTATGAGACACTCTATATATATATATTACAAAATAAAATATATATTATTAATATATGCATATGTGCATGTGTATGTATATATACATTTACACACATTTACTAATTATATATTTGCATTTCCATTTACCTTGTACATATGCACGCGCGCGCGAGACAGTCGGGAAAGCAAGACAATCGCGACCCTATTTTGCATCGCGTAATCTTGCAAGCTAAAGCTGTGTCTTAATATGGCGCTCGTTACCTGATGTCTCCGGGGAAATATCTTTAACGCTTTTGTAGCCCAATTTTCTTTTCCATCTTTTTAAAGCGGATGGGTAATGACAGTAGACATATCAGCACAATAATACGGTATTACAATTTTTTCAGCTAATAAGAACTTCATTTTCCTAAAAGAGAAATAAAACATTGTATAAAAAATTTATAAATATAAGGGAAAACAGTATTCTTTTTATAATCTGTACATGTAATGCATAAAATGTCTTTTTAATAGTCTTTGATAATAGCTTATATAAAATTTGCAGAAATCTTATCATTTATTTTTTATTTGTATATTTATACTCAATATATATATATATTGTGTATCTTAATGCTTGTAATAAATAATATTCTTGAATATTTAAATTAAACCAATAATGAAATGTACAATTAAAAGTTTTGCACGTTATAAGCAGAATATTTTAAAAATAAT